GACCAACTTCAAGAAACTACTTAAAAAATATGTTTCGCAACCTTTACCCTCATATGGGTTTTCTAAAGATTTTTCCATGGCATTAAATAAAGAGGTTGAAAAACTACTTAGCTCAGGATTAAAGTGCAAAAAGTACTCACAGAAATAAAGGAAATGCTTACCGTTTATTGAAATTAACTTCTAACAAAGAGAATTCAAATTAACAACGGACCCTAGCTTAACCTTCGTCTCTTTCGAGTTTGAAGGGAGATAAAGCTTGCTAGACAGCGAGACTGAATTTGATGAAGTATTAGAAAGAAAACATAAAAGAAAACTGTAAAGAAATAAAATACAAGACTTGAACATAAATAAACTGAAAAGGTGTTAAACTAAGAACTTTAAAACCCTAGAAACTGAAGAAGAATGATGAACAAAAGATGATTCCGAGCTTAAGACATGCTGAGAATTTTTTAGAAGCTAAGTGGTTGTAACTATGACAAAAAGACCGTCAATCGACCTCAACAGCTTCCACTTGACTAGTTCCATTGACCTACAAACTGTCCTTGCTACCTTCCACCTGACCGAAACGTTTTGCATCAGATCTTCGAAATAGAGTCGGTGGCTACTTTACCTATACATCCAAAAAAATGTAAGAGCGTTTTTCGTTGACAAATCTGGATTCTGTTTCTTGTTTTCAAATTCATTTGATCAAATGGATTTGATGAATATGCATTTGACAGATTTGTTTTTTAAAAATGTTTTTGGATTCCATGATCTGAACAATGAAAATTTTGAGAACACCATTTTTATGTCTTAAGTGTTTTCATATTTTGAATTTGAAACTTTAAAATGCAGAATTACATTAAAAATGATAAAAACTTTGATAAAAATAATTATATCATGTTATAAACTCATTTCATTTTTGTTAAAATTAAAAAATATAAAATATAATTATATTATAAATTATACAACATTGTAAAATAATAATTATACACAATTTTTAACAAAAATGTTAATAAATAAATTAATATTTTTTTAGATTAAACTAAATATTTAATTGGTAACTATTACTAGTTTACAAATATATTGCAAAACACGTTGAACAACTTTTTTAATTGAGATTCAATTTTCATATACACATATCTAAAAACAATGAAAATAAGAAATATAGTTATGTTTTCTATTGTATCCTTTGTGTTTTTTTTTTTTGACAAACCTTGGAAAATAAGGTATATCACAAACTCTATCAAAATTCTTATCATGTCAAGTGGTAGTACGGACATAAATATCATTCTAAATATGAGGTAAAATAATTGAAATCAAATCAGAGACGGGGTAAAGAGGATCGCTTGAAATTTAACTTTCACTATGGTGTGGTTAAATTAGAAAGTATCGTTGGGAAGGAAGACTAATGGAGGATTGCTTTAAATTTCTTGTACTCAATTCTAGCATTTTTTTTTTTTTGAGGATAAGGTATTGACTTGCTTTACTTAAATGAGGCCTAGTAAATTTTGTTTAAAGAGGCAAATATATATATATATATATTGAAGAAGTATTGAGAACATTAGCAAATAGCAATACGGTGATGAGGACATGCCGCTCAAAATTTAATCCTTTTTTATTTCATTGTAAAACAAAAATAATCATTTTTTTTGTACAATCATATTTTGTTAACACTTGGTGTCTTTGCATGCCTGGAATTTTTATGTGAGTTTGATTCTGGACAAAAGTAGTTTAAAAAAAACATACAAAAAAATGGTAAAGGTGAAATTTTGTAGTTTTTTTTTTCTAAAAAATGTTTAAAGCTAAGTATAAAATGAGGTGACAAAGAAAGAAAAAAAGTTGAAGGCTTCCAACATATAATGTCATAAGATAGACAAACGGACATGGAGAAAAAAGCATAACTATTGAACATAAATGATAGTATTTTCTTTAAAAATAGCATAATAAGAAAAAAAAATTACCATGTAAAAAAGAAAGAAATTGTAATGTAAAAGAAGGAAGAAAAAAATAGCACTATTTATGAAAAGCAGCAGACAACTGTTCAGGGAGCACAATTATATTATTGATGAACTAATATGGACAACTTTTCATTTGAAAACGCGACTTAAAATGACACAATCTTTGGTTCGAAGCAATTCTACAGCTACCATGTAATCAAATGATTGATGTAAAATTAATAAATATTTCATATCATTTCAACTAAAGTTAGTGTTGGGATTTTTGGATACAGACAAATAAATTTCAAACCTTTATTTTTAGGTTTCACATACTCTATGAGTTTTATGTTTTGTGGGGAGTAGCCGTCGGAATTTTAGGAGCAGTCGAATTGGGGGTTTTTGGCAGCAGTTTTTGTGGCAGCGGCTCGAGTATTGGCAGAGACATTGGGAGAGGTCAGAGGTCAAGATCGTCTTTATTGAAGTAATTGTATCTTGATCTATAGTGTTTTTCATTCCTATACCTAAGTATTAATTGTGTAAAATACTTAGAAGTTAGGAGGCTTTTGTTGGGACCTCTAGGGGATATTTTTTGGGAGAGTTTTGTATTTAATCCTTAAACAGTTATTAGTGAATTACCTACATCTGAGTGGAAGATTGGACGTAGTCCTTAGTGGTGAACTAGTATAATTTTGCTGTGTCGTTTTCTTGTTCTTTCCAACAAGTGGTATCAGAGCTATAGGGTTGCAGCATCATGGGAGACAAATAAAACGCACATCATTATTATGAAGGGGTTCTGAAGTTCACCGGAGAGAATTTCAGTTTTTGGAAGATGAGATCTTCTTACATGCAAGAAGATACACAAGACTTTGGGGGATAGACCAGTGGGGATGACAGATAAGGATCGGAATGAGATGGATGAGCAGGTCGTTGCGAACATCAAAATATCGTTGTCGATAAATGTTTGTAGTCTGGTGGCGAAAGAGACTACAACGAAAGAGTTGTTGAAGGCCTTGCAAGACAGGTATGAAAAACCTTCTGCCAATACAAAAATACTTCTATGGACGAAATATTTTTATAGAAATATTTTAATATCCACATGGAGTAGGGAACCTCGGTGAACTCCCACATTAATGAGCTCACCGATATCTTGAACAAATTAGAAGGGATGAGTGTCAAGATTAAGGAAGAGCTGAAGGCTATGAGGCTGTTGAAATCTTTGCCTGACAGTTGGGAAACGATGAAGAGCGCGGTATCGAATTCGCTAAGGGAAAATAGTTTGAAATTTTCAGCTATTTGTGATACCGCCTAATTTGAGGAATCCCGAAGAAAATTAGGGAAAATTTCTATTGGGTTTTATGTCCAAAAACTCATAGTTTGTAAATGTTAGATATACTTTTATCATTCAATAAAGTTGTTATTGAAGGTTATAATCAATAAATAGTTATTGATTCAATAAAATGTTATTACTAGATCTAAATCCAATAAACTAAGGTACATAAGACTCAAACTTTATGTAGAGACATAAATATGGATCAAGTTTGAGTTAACAGTCTAAAAGGTCTATAATATAGGAATAAGGTTGGGGGCCTTATTCTAGGGACACTATGGATGCGGCCCACTTTGTAGCTAGTATAAACAATGTGATCCTAATTCGTTCATGTGGAGACATGCGAGTGGGGGCGTCCTGTACAAAGAGTTTGCATAAGACCGAACCATGAGATAGTCACTTTTACTTTATAACACTGTTTACTGTCTGAAACTGACTATCTCGACTTTGATGGCTTAGGTAACTCGATCTTAATCCTAAGCTAACTATGAACTTCTGTTTACTTGGGATTATCCTTAGATCTAAATGGGTGAGAGCAGCTCAACAGCACTAGCTCAATAAGCCTTCCATTTCAGGGGTAAGACCAGATAGATAGCTAGGGACATAGGGTGCAAGAAGGAATTCACTTCTACCCAATTTTGGGATAGTAGAGAGGTTGTTCTCTTAAAGGTTGAATCCAAGTCTTGAACAATTGGCGCCACCCTCATCAAAAGGTTTGAGAGGATTTTTTTTTTATTTGATAGTTGGACTACAAATCATTGTTCAT